GTCAATTAAGCATTTGGAAGGGAATGGGAGTAATGCCTGTTGTTTGAATGCGATGCTTCAAAGATGGTTTCAACAAAAGTAACCCCTCCCCCCTTGTCCGCCATCTGAAAGGCAATTGAGCTATCGGTGCTAGCTAGCTAGTTCCATCTCATACACAAGTTTATTGCGATCCTGTTAAATACATACCGAAGCGATGGTCCTTTGCACAATAAAACAGATAAGCCTGTTCAAAGTACATAACACGCGCAGGTTTTAAAAGGACACTTCTGGGTCAAGAATACTTTTTGTCGGTACCTCCAAGTACTATTTTTGTGCAAGCATTTGTGAGTATCGAATGTGCCTGAATTCACAAGCAATGAGAGAGAGAGAGACAGGCTGTATTCGCTGTGAATGATATAGCGGTAAGATCGAATTTCGATTATATGTATTGTTCCATTTAGAATACAATTCAGTAGTGTTATTTTATGGACCCTGGGATTATCATCTCAAGTCAAATTTAACAGACATTGTTTTTTAGAACTTTCCGCAATAATCCCCCAACTTCATCGATTTTTCAGGGCTCTCTATAGCTAAGCGTTAGTTGTACGACAACAGTTAGATCTCTCCGAGTAACAAGAACCCGTAAAATGCTCTGTGGCTTACATTGGTCTACTTTTCTTCAGCTCGTTCAAACACAACAATTACTGGCACAACTGAAATGTGGGCTTTACACCTACAGGAGTTGTCATTACAATTATAATTAAAAATATGATTCTTGAATGCATGCATATACACAAAGCATTGAAAAATCCAGTGCTCTTCGGTTGGTACTTTAAGCTAAAAGAATTATTCTATCCAACTTATTCCGAATCTATCACAGAAAACGAGGGTTATTGTAACAATATCTGAACTGTAGAAATCACGTAGCAGATAGCCCAGCTGTTCCTACTGTAGGAAAATATGCGTTCTTTTTAACTTCATGTTAATTTGAAATAAAATTTCCGTTTATTGGTAACTAAAATAAATCTATATAAATCTATGTAAGGCATGAGATAACGTGACCAAACTAAATTTGGTTACCTTGATCGGACAACGCAGTCGCTCGCTACGATATACGCCAGTTCCCATTATTTGTCATAGTCATCTGAAGCCAATCAGATGGATCCATATGGAATTGAGTGAGGTCGTGGTATTGATCGCACACGTGTAGAGCACATGCTTTCACGCATGGACGCGGGTTTTTGCATACACTACACACATCCAGGTGTGAGCGTGCGCGATCGGAGTAAGTTGTGCACGGCCACAAATATGATTCTGTTCGACTCCCATGCCAGTGTCTGACGTCATCATTGTCATCGTCCTCAAATCAGCATCATCATCTTGATGATGGTCAGCATCACATAGGTCACATAGTAGATAGGTGCATGTGCGTGTGTATAGTCCAGTTCCGTCGCGGTTCACACTCTGCTTCCAGGCCGGCAGCCTTATGTCGCTCTCATATGATCACAATGACGATTTCAATTTCGTCGGGCGCATCCATCCGCACGTACGTACGCACGCACGCTTGCTTGCTCCGATACGCACATTCACGCGCGTCACCTCGGTCATCCGCCATACGTGCATGAATGCTGTACACGCACCGCATAGCATGCGGGGGCGCACGTGCGCACAATTCGAATTTGCGTATCCGCATATGGAGAAGCGGACGCACATGTACATTCGTTGATCGATTGGTTGTGCACACATCGTTCACGCCTGCTCGCTTGATTCTATGGCCGATACGTTTGTCTTCAGCACCCCCAATGTACCAGGGATAGTATTCACACACGGACAGACGTGTAAGTGTGCTTAACAATTTGTCCAATCGAGTTGAATAGTCTTGACACAGTCCACACGATTCGATATTCAAATTTTCAATCATGATGTATCTATTATATTGAGTAATCAATTTTTACACGGGTGCGTGCAATTCGACGCGGGACACCTCATACGTTTGCAATGTCTGAAGTCGCTACGTCTCAGACATTAACCTAGAAACGTGACTCGTTCTGGTCTTGCTTGCTTTGGGATGAACACGACGAATTCCCATTTGAAATTTAATCAAATCACATGAAGTAAGTAGGCAAGCTGTGGATATTTCCAACGGAGTCATAACCCTGAAGGCTATTGCGGGGATGAGAGGGTCTGTGGCCCGCAACAAGCTCGTAAACATGGGTTGTTTCTATATCGTGTAAATGGAGAATGAAAACCGATCTGATCAGCTGCTCGGTGGCGTAGTGGGTAGCACGTCTGCGTTCTGCCCATGAAGTCCCGGGTTCCGTCCCCAGTTGGGTCGATGGATTCACAATGCTGATGAAACCCAACCAGGTCGAAACAGCTGTCCAGTGCTCCCTAGCTTTTCAGTTCGCGCTTCATTTGCTATATGCACGACGAATTCCCATTTGAAATTGGATCAAATCCTCTATTACTCACATGAAAAATAAAACACTGTTGTAAAAACACGATGAACCGTTCGTATGGTATATCGTTACATTTTCCGCTGTTCCTTTGTGCATCGGTGTACTCGTGCCAATAATTCAAATTCGCTCACCCAGTACACCACAGATTTTCTTACATTTTGGAGTTACACTAAATTATTCATTAAATGTCCAGACCGTTGTAAGTAGCGGTGCTCAGCCATGTAAAGCTAGCAAACAAGAAAGATAGAAAAGTAACTGTGTTGCCTAGTGTTTCGGGTGCGATCAGTGGTTCAGGTGCATGAATGGTATCGTTTTATGATCAATTCAATCAAAACTTTTGTTTGGCCTCTGGGACAAACTGATTGGTACAAGTGACTTTATATAACTATCCGTAATTCATTTGTCAGCTGAGATTTGTGCACTGTGCAGCTAAAAGTATAATCTTCCAGTTCCTGAAGACCTGACTTTTTACAGCATGTAGTTAGAACAGTGATCCAAATTCCTTCCAACATTGATAGGTCACGTGATCCACTAAAATAAAGCTGTCACCGACATGACCAAACCAAAAAGAAAACGCTGTTAGTGTAGACTCACTGTACATAAGGTATACTTATGTTGGTATCTCGCCACATTGATTACCCCTGTTTTCACAAATACAATCAATCAACGAACATTTGAAGGACGTGTGTGTGTGATGTGAAGAAAAGAGAAAATGGATACATTTCAGAAATAGAAAACTCGTAA